TCTGGAAGTGTTCAAAAAACATGTGGATGTGGCACTTCAGGACATGGTTTAGGGGACATGGTGGCACCGGATTAATGGTTGGACTTGATGATCTTGAAGGTCCTTTCCAACCTTAGTGATTCTATGATTCTGTGATACATCTACAGAAACTTGTCAACTGCCCATTATGGGTCATACAGACTGTTTTACCATTTGTCATTTGATAAAGAGATATTTTAGTGGCAGTGTGCCCAAGAAAAAATCTTTAATAAATTCTCTGAAATCTGAATTACTATGCAGATATAAGAACAATAAAAGGAGTAAGAATTGCTAGGAAGAGACTTGACAGAAAATAATTACTTTTTTCTCTGACCTAAAGACAGACTGTATAGCACTTTGGCCTCCAGCTGTGTTAGCTTAGGCTACCTTAGAAGCAAAAGTATAGCTTGGGTTTTTTGACAACATCAACAACTTTGCTTGGGCTTTGTTTCCATTAACACATAATAGATAAAATTCCTTTTAACAGCTGTTAAATTGTGAATACAATCTAGTATTCACACAGCATCCAAGAACATCTTTACCATGCCCATTTATGATGACTAGTAAGCCCTACCACTGTGCAGAATTCTAGTTTTTTGAGTGTCACATGAGTGTCTTTACAGAAGTGTGAAATTGTTGAGAACAGTCTTAATAAGATGGATTCTTTCTGTTTCTAATTCTTCAGTTCCTAACTATGCTGAACTATGACAGCCGCATTGCCCACCGCATTTCAGTGATGGAGCAGACTCTTGGCATCATGGATAAGGTAAAACCTAAGTGAACCACCACATTTGAGAGACACATCCTTAGTTTAAATGCAATTCCTCTCCTTCATTAGCAAGAGGTGTTTATAAGGAATAACTGCAATTGATGTAGGCATACCAACTCTTCAGCTAACTCAAGGACTGTGGGAGCATAGCCATAATAGCACACATGGATGAATATATATATCTATCCATGTATTTATTCACCTGGCTTTCAACAGTTTCTTCAACCTGCACTGAGCTGTCTACAGCAGCAGTTCTCTAAAGTCTTTGAAAGCAGTCATCATACATTGATTGATGCATAGATCAGCCATATGGAGAGAAATCTACTTGCTCTGTTACTGGAATTAAATGCCTTTCTTCCTGAACATCTGAATGCAGATCTGCTTATCACTTCTTACACAGCATTGCCTATAAAAGTCACGCCTCCATTTCTAATGAAGCATTCTTCCAGTGTTCAATGCTTAATGTTTCTCTCCAGGAGCGCCAGCCTGTTCATAATATCACTTCTCCCTCTATATTCAAAATAACACAGACACAACGATCTGATTTGCTCACTTCTTCATCTATTTTGACATTCAAATTACGATTATCCTTGTTTTTAAGTGATTCCACTGGATTTTCTCCAGGTTGCTCTAGCTGGCATCAGCCTCTTCTTCTTCAAGCTTTAGTACTTGTCCCTTTACAGCCCATCTGACAGCTTCAGCACAATGCTTTCTTCAGCAGCCTCTAGCAGCCAAGAGAGTATTCTCAACTCACTGATTCCACTGACTTCCTTTCCTCCCTTTGCTTTTCAAGCTTTATCTTTAATACAGCTCTCTCTCTGACCCATATCTCTTTGTTCCTTGTCTGCTACTTACATTAGAACTCCGTAAAGTGTACTGGAATGCAGTGTGTGTGAAAGACACTATACAAAGTAAAGCTAGAACGTGCTAATAGTTAAATCAAAATACATGAAAGTTTATTGAGCTACAATGCAGTGCTTAAGATTATAGGTTTCCATCAAAAGTTTGTCTGAACAGCTTTTGTGTAAGCTCATATATTTGCTTTATTCATTTGGAAATGGACAGCTGCACAAGAAGAATGTGAAGAACCGTCAGAAAAGAATTAAAGAGTTGGAGAAGTGCATCAGTTTAAAAGAGCAAGCAAACTACAAGCTCAGCCTGGAGCTGAAAGAAATGCTTGTCTCAGTTTCAGAAAGGAGGCATATCTTTGAGGCAGCCGGTGAGTCACAGTAATGCACTTTAAGTCACAAGCCAAAAACATTCAGAAAATATCTCCAAGGACAGACGGTCCTGTTCTCCATCAGCATCAGCTAAGGGGCAAGGAGCGCCTGTTTGTTACTGTATGTGCATGATTAGCAGTGCCCTTTCTACAGCAACAATTTAACTTCATTTACTTAAGAACATACCTAGAGATTGTTGCTCTTGTAACCAAAGTGAATTGACTAAATTGCTGAAACAATTTAAATAAAAATATTATAGTCATTAATACCTTCATTAGACAACCTGCTTTCATTCTTCCTCAGGACTGTTCAACCCACTTCTTTCCACCCATTCAAGGGAACAGAGGAAGTGATGTGAAGCTGAGAAGGGTATTCACTGTTAGGAAAATTGTAGAGATCTTTCCACTAGTAAAACAGTTACAGATTTTCTAAACAGTGGGTACTTCCTAGAAACTAAAGGAAGCATGCCCAGTGTCTTTTTGAAATTTTTTGCTTTATTCAGTACTATGAAGACTCTTAAGCCCAACTGTGAGCCTTTTTTAAAATGCTTGCCTATTTTATACTGAACTTGGAATAACCCCAGGGACAGGTCCAATATAAATATAGACTATGCATCCCCTATAAGAACAGGCTAACCCTTATATTTTGTTTTATGCAGACACATGGCATGTTTCTGAAAAGATCGCAAAGCAGCATTACCGAGAGCTTTTGAAGCAGAAACACCTACGGGGTCTTGTAAAGGAACAGGAGGAACAGTTTGAAATTCTTCAGGCAGAAGTTGAAAGAGTGAGATCAAGAACATTCCCTATTCTTTAAAAATCAGAGTCCAGGCAGATGTATAATAGTACGGTCTTGTCTGAGAAAAAGAGCTTGAACATCTACATTTTATCCCTGAACTTTTCTTTCCACAAATGATTTCCTCTGCAATTTCTTTAAAAATAACTTGTTTGAAAGATGCATGTTTGTCTGCTTGGTACAGTTTATACCTAGACTTGTCCCCATTATATTTCAGTTCACAAGATGTATTTCTGCAGTTTTGATAATATAAACCATATAGCTCATTACATAAAGAGTACAAGAAATTGTAGACTAAAAGAACAGGTGTATTTTTGTATCCTGTCTGCAATATGCAACTGTAGAACATTCTGAAGGTGAATTACTGCAAGAAATCCATGCATTTGCATCTGCTAAAATTCCTGTCTGTGGCTTTGACTTCATTTTGCTTTTTTAAAATATGTTTACACCTGTGATAGCACAGGTGTAGGTGGCTGAGAAGATGAAGGTATGCTTCGGTATGACTGTATGTGTGCTGCTTGGCCCAGTTCTGAAAGCTGCTGCTGCTGATAGTATAATTACCTACAGTCACCAGTAGCTGTGGCTGGGGCCCCCTGGGGCCCCTGCCACTGGCAGAATCACAGGAAAACCAGGTTTGGAAGCATCTGGCCTCCCGAAATAGTCACTGCTATCTCCCCCCGCCTTTGCTTTGATATGCAGTCTATTCTCCTGCCAGATCTCTCCAAGATAGCTAAGAAAGATAAAGAACCCTTGATAAAATTAATTACATCTAATTCTAATTACATCTCCATTCTTCTTGCAAGATTTTTTCTTTCTGCTGAAGCTCCCCTAGAGCAGAGTTCCAAATTTGCCAAGGATCTCAGGGAAGAGAACTGTCTCCTTCACCAGGCCCCACCATCATTTTTTATTAACCTAAACAGGGAGAAGAATTATTGTCTTAATACTCAAAATATGATTAGTAATAAAGGTTGTTCTTCATTGATTCTCTGCAGACAGCAACATCACGTATTCTTAAGAGCAAGTTGTGGGTACAGATTTAAGTCTAATAAGCCCTATCAATCTTAAACGGGTCTGTAAGATCTTTGATTTTCTTTCCCTTGAGATATGTAAGAAATGACTCCCTTATTAATGAAACAGGAAATGGCACCTGTAAACAAAGCAGTTAAGGTACAACCAATAAGGAATGTGATCACATCTAAGACAATATTCATAGCAGGGAGAGTTACAGAGTTGTTAAGATTTATGTACTGGTGCACTTGATGAGTGATGATTTTAAGGAGAATAAAAGCAGACAGAAGTCGCCACACTATATGCATAGGCCATGAGAAAATAAGCAATTTCAAGTTAAGATTAAAAAAACATTTTAAAGAGACAATATTTATTGGAGGATAAATGAAATGCTGAAGTTTTATTCAGCTTTATATGATGCTGTATTTGAAGCACTGCCATTAGACAAGGCCTTATCTGTCTTATTTATTTGAAGAGAGAAAAGACCTTGTGGAAGTAGTAGAGTAGACAGATGTTGGCGGCAATTTTCTTGCCTTCCCTTCTATTAGCTCAGGCTGTGGCAGAATGCTTAAGAGACAGCTTCCCTAAAGACAAGAGTCTGGACCAGTATCTGAAAATGAGTGCATTGTGGCACATTTCCTTCAGCAGTAATTAAAGCTATTGCGAACATCTCATTGCAGCTTCAGAATATTAACAACATGAACATTAGTTATCTTTATGTAACTTGCAAAAAGCTGTCATTAACTGACTGGCAGCAGGAAGATATATTCTAAATGGGGATGTATCTATGAACAAAGAACTGAACTCCTCCCCATCTGCACATCAACAGAAATGACAATTAATTTGAGTTCATTATTGAAAACAAGTAACCATGCAAAGACAAATCAAAGAATGGACTGCCTTCTACCTGTTAAAGTATGACTTGATTTAATTTTATTTTTATTAAATAACTATTCAGTGATCAAGTTATCAAGCCAGGTTTTCCAAAACAGCACGAGTTCAATCTTTTCCATTAAGTAATGCCTTTTACATGACTACTGTATCTAAGTACACAGCTTTACAAGTATCTCCTGAGAAAACCTCCTAACCTCAAAGCATAAAGTCTGCTGTCAGATCAACACGTCTTATGTGATCAGAATTCATTCAGCCTTTTCTGCTTTTGCATGTAATTGAAAGGTTCGCATTGTAGATTACGCATCTACAAAATCTTCTTCTGTTCTGCTGTAGTGCAATAACTGGTCTTCTAATCCAAAAGTATCTATCAGCTGAGTGAGACTCACTTTCTTGCCATCTGCAGAAAAAGCTGACTGTAGTTCATATAGCATCAGCTGGGTACTACTTCTCCATTTCACTATCAAAGCCTGCAGTTCAGACAGGTTGTTCTGAAATTGGGACAAAAAAACCACAAAGTTTTGTCATTTGCTGAAATGTGGGGGTTTTGATACCCTGCAGATCTATTTTTATAAAATGCCTTAAACTGAGACAATACACAAGCACCACACACAAAAAAGTGAGTAAATATTGTTGCTTAAATCAATAAATAAGAAATACACTATGAATTCCACTTCAAAGAATGACTTAAAAGTGCTTTTTCAGAAGTCTTCCTCACCTTAGATCGGTACATCTTAACCAGTTTGAGCCTTCGAAGTAGTTCCTCCTTCTCTTGCACCTGTTTCATGAGCCTTACTTTTTCTTCCAGGTACTGTTGCTGGCTAAGATCAGCCTGTAGCACATGAAAATTCTCTGCCGATCGACAGAGACGACTCTCCTGTAAGGGACTTTTGAAACACATATGCCCAGTGCCATTTTGTTCCAGGTTTTTAGAACCATCTTGTAATCTGGAACAATCTGTACTCGTCTCTGGCAGGCACCCTTTTTCAGGATCAGCACAGTCTTTTTCTTCAGTGTCTATTTTGAGCCGCTTTGCCACTGTAAAATTAGCGTTAAATGAACGTCTTGTTTTCCTTAATCGCTCCCTCAAAGCTGCACTCATTGGCTAAAAAAAAAAAAACCAAACAAAAACAACCCTGAAGGATCAGAATAATCTAATCTTTTGATCAAATTTAAAAGAACTGTTTACTCTAGTTATTATTTACATAGAATATATATGTAAAGATCATTGTAAAGCCAGACCTCCTAATTCTCACTACAGCTTTCACAAACGTAACAAAGTTAACTTCTTCCTTTCACATGTGTTTGCACACACAGGTGCAAGATATGGAAAGATGTACCTCTGCATTTTCTAGTAGCAAATCCTGTATTCCATTGAGGCAAACCAACTCATCTAGTCTTTGTGCAGAAGATACATGCATATTTCAACTTGGCTATTTTTATTCCATCAAGTTCAGTTTCCCCCTCTAGTTTAATGGTGGTAAGGGTTTGTTTTTTTGCTGTTCCATTCCACCACACATACATTCAAGTAGAATACAGATGTTTTATACTAGTGCTAATGCAGAAAGTGTATATTAGAAACAATGTGTATAATTTTGACTTGTCCATGCTTTGAGATCCTTTGCTGATAAGCATCTAAAAGGTGACGCTTTTTCTTAAAAAGAAGTTAACAATTTGATTTTTTTTTTTAATAATCTGTGTCTAACATTTTTACCTGTGAAAATACACTAAAATATGGGAGAGAGGGATTAGCTAAGGAACACTTGCAAAGTAGCCCTATCCAGCATAGGTCTGGATGCTGAGCCTAACAGCATCACCGTAACACCTGCTAGGACAAACACCAAAGCAGAGCTCAGCATTATGGAAAATATACAAACTGAAAGCAGTGTACTTTGTACAAATGCAAGCAGAATTCACAGAAAGTCATTCTGTATACACAGCAACTCAGAAAATTAGGATTTGAGTAAACTGAAATGACAGATTAAAAATAAACAACAAAACCCACCATAAACCCTAACAGCTTTAAAATTTATTAGTATGGCATTTGGGGTATATTACTCCATCACTTTGTATTCACAGCAAACATCTGCACCTTCAAAGCAAGGTATACCAAGCACGTTCCTTACCTGGACAACCCTGTAGCTATAAGCTACCTAACTTTCGCCTCCCAACGAACAGTATCTCAGTGACTTCCGACTACTTCATGATTTCACAAGTGTTTTTGTTGCTATAAGGAGTCACATTACTGGAAAAACAAAGAAGTTTTCATACCTGTTTCCCTGAACTAGTCCCCTGTGTAGCTGCTGTCCCAGAATCCTTTGGGGTACTGCACAAAGAGGTCAGTTTATCAAGCACTGGTTCTTCCATCTCGAGATGGATAGCAGTTTCTGTTAAAAGATAGAATGAATTATATATGGTGCCATTTTCACCTGATTATAATGAGCCATGTGGCTCTACAAGTGAGTAAAAAGCTCTAATAAGAAATACTAAGGCTTATTTTCTATTTAAGTTAAAAAAAGACATCTGCATAAGTTACACAACCGTTTCATGTGCTAAGTAGCACTTGCTTTGTGAATGGCTTTTCCTTAAGAGGATGAATGACACAACTAACTGATAGAAAGTACCTTACTATGAATTTTGTATATTATTTTTCCCTCTTAAAGCTGTATGGATTTTTTTCTTAAAAAGATGGAAAATATTATAGTAAGTTTTACAGATATTCTCCATTATAATTTTTTTTCTATCGGATATCTGCTTTCAAGTGTTAAAAAGGAGCAAGACAACTTATGAAACAATCGAATGCATTATAGTATGCCTGTAAATCCAAGGTCAGTTCCTCCATCATCAAACTCATCAAGATTCTCTTAACATGAATGACCCTTACTGCTTGTCTAACTCAAAAGAATAATCCTTACTATGCCAAGTTGTGAAGAACCAGTCCTTTCATTTACCTGCATCCCAAGTATTGATAAAAGGATTGTTGGGAGTCACAAGATTTTTATTGTCCACATGTATAAACAATTCATCTTTGCTATAAAACAAAATAATTAGGTACCCAGGTCTGTGAAAATAATCCACTGTCTCATTTGATCCTTCTGGGGATGCTGCTTAAAAAAGTAATTACTCACACAACTAGAATTTTAGATTAAAAGTAAGCATCCCCAGTTCACTCAGAAAAGTACCTTAATTAAAACCATAAGTCATACCCTCTCAGCATGTACCAACTTCAAATTGGTTTAGCAATGTTTAACTTAGTTTAGCACTTGTGAACCACCTGCTAATGACCAAAAGGCATCTGGAAAAATCATCAGCTACACCTTTGTTTACGCGCAAATTGCAATTAGGAGTTTCAAGAGAGAAGCCTCCTAAAAATACAATCCTGCAAACAAGTCACTAGGCAACACAAGCCTGGCACAAGGGGCTTCCTCTTTGGAGAGGAAGCATACCAAAGCTTCAATACGCCAAAGCCTTACTAAGCCAGCAACCGTGGTTTTCCTGTCTCTATACCAAAGGATGCAGGTCCTCATTTATCTTGTAAGTCAGCATTCCCCCCAGTTGTTCAAAATTCAACATACAGTATTCTATTAAAAAAAAAACCCACAGGCTTCAGTAAAGAAAGTCTAGTCAATTGGGTATTTTAGCAATCTATCAATTAAACAGGAAGCCCACAGCACCCATCAAACATAATGCAAGTTATCACTATTATTTCTTAATGTAAGAAAGAGCTGCATCATGCCTACTTATACAGTATGTCACAAATATGTAATAAATCTTACTAAGAAATTTCAAGCCGAAGAGCTAGCTTCAAGCGACTTGTTCAACTCTCAAAATAAATCCTGTCACTCTCTGCCTTTACATTCTAATGCAGATTATTTGTCTTCAAATGACTATGTTACAAGGAATACTTTTTCCCCACAGTTCACTAATGCTGTTACTTTAAGTCTCCGTTTGGCAGCACGTTCTCATAAACCTCCTGCACTCTTAACATCCTTCCCCAAGATCTCAGGCAAAAAATATTTTTACATTTTCAAGCAGCAATGTGATTTATCACACAGAAAAATAATTCTGTCCAGCAAGCAAGAAAAACTTGGGATAGACGGGGAAAAGATAATTTTGCACTTCAGTATTTGATTTTGCACTTTGAGTAAGTCCCTGATGCTACCTACCTCAGTTTTCCTGCTTATAGCTACATTATGTAGCAGCTCTCACACCTTTTACCTTCTCTCACCAACCGAAGGCTCTGTTAACACTCGGAAACAATTTTCCCCCTCGCTACTTTTCCACCCTACAGAGAAGCAGAAAGAAGGCTGGGCAGCCTGTAAGCAGAGACACAGATCCAAGGAGCTCTTTCTGAGGTGATGCACCCTGGAGGGCCAACAGGCACCCCACAAACGGGGCACAGCAGAGATCCGCGGCGCAACCACAGCCAGAGCCAGAGGCTGCTCACACACCGTGGAGCGAGGGGAGGCCCCTCACGGAGCACAAAGTCCCCCACCCCAGCGAGGCCTAGCCCGCTCCTAGGAGCTGGCCGGGCCAGGGTCCGGGGTCAAGGAAAGGGACAGCCCTGAGGGAACCA